CTCAAGTTTAGTCAGACATGGAAGAATATTAAGCTTTTGGTGTTTCTTGGCTTATTGCAGGCTTTTGGTGTTTCTCGGCATATTACAGGCTTTTTGTGTTTCTCGGCTTATTGCAGGCTTTTGGTGTTTCTCGGCATATTGCAGGCTTTTGGTGTTTCTCGGCTTAGAAGAAGATTGATCTTTTGGTATTAGATTATGGGCAGTTTTGGAGTTTTAGGCAAGGGAGAAATCGTTTTATTGTTTTTCGATTATATGTTGTCTTGACTCAGATGCTTTTGGTTACTATATTATGGTCTCATTTTGACAATTATATCTTGTGTTTGTCTCATATGATTTTGGTCAATAAACAGATTGAGTTTTGTGTCTCATTAAGTTAATGAACTATTGACATGATCCGAAAACAATAACTGCAGATGATTTTTGTCAAATTTATGTCATTACATCTGAAACCAAAAACAGATGATTCAAAAACCAACAACGTGATTCACAATAATTTAAAAACAACAACCCGAAACCAAAAACAGATCAAACAACAACCAAAATCAGATCAAACATAATCATATAAGGTATCAATTATCTTCAACCAAGTAGCTTTATGCCTCCAACAAAGATCATACACCCCATGACCACAAGAACCATAATCTTCTTCATGCTAAATTTAGCATCAACTAAAACATCTTCAACCTTCTCCAATATCTTATTCTCAAGCTTCACTTGAACCTTCTCAAAAACATTCTTCTCAAACTCCATACGCTCTGTTGTTATCTCTTTCAACTCTTGCTCAAGTCTTGCATTTTTTATTTGTCATGACTCAGTCTCTTTCAATAATGTCTCATCAATCCATTTGAATATATGATTATCATTCATAAGCTGAAAATAAAACAAAATCAACAATCATAACAATCACATCCAAACGAATTACAAGCAATTGAAAACAAATCAAAAAGCATCTCTATTACCTTTTTTGATGCAGCATAACCACAACGGAAGTATCGCCGATAAGGATTGTTGTCGGATTTGGACAGCAAAGCCACAATCTCTGGCCACACCAACATCTCTTGGGCATGCCTACAACTCTTCCACTTTTTGGCCGACCAGTTGATGATCCAGTCGAAGCTCCTGACACACCACTCGTAGATCCAGACATCATCGAAATCGACTTACAAAACCAGAACCAACAAAACAAAAAAAAACCAAGCATCGCTAGCTTCTAGGTATGGAATGGTTTAACGAGAGTACGAAATAATGAAGAAATTATACTGGATTTTAAGAATTTTTGATTGTAGTAATCGATTCTGTAGATTGATTTAGGGTTCAAAGAAATTTATGATTTTCGATTTGTGAATTTTTCGGAATTTTGGGTGTTTTAAATGGGTCAACGGGTTTGATAACTGGTCCGGTTGTAGGTGGATCTGGGTTTTTGCTCGGTTTAGAATCGGATTAACGTGAAACCAACATCGGGTTAATGTGAAACCAACATTTGTGTGGATACAGGTTCGTAACTTTAATCTCGGGGAGATCTGGATTTTTAACTTTAGACTTAAGGATATATAGAGCGAGTGCATAGTTCGAGGGATATCTAGTACTATATGATATATATGTTTACTTATTAGTTCTGTAAGAATTGTTATGGAAATTTTGGTTTGGTATTCGAATAATATTGTTCTCTTATTGGCTTGGTTTGAATTGGGTAGTTTGGTTTAGTACCAAACTCTTTTAGAGCCGGTTAGATAGACCATGAAAATTAAACAAAATATATTTGGCTTTGCTATATTCGCCCAAATTCACGAAACTTGACATTAATTGTGTGATATATAAAATCTTTTGGAGAGATTATTATGAGCTCAATAAAACATTATCTACATATAATTATACTATTAAAATTATGATATCAAGTTTTTAACATAATACAGATTCGTTCGTTTTTGGTTTAGTAGGAACTCTAGCAAAATAAAATTTGAAAAGAATAAGTGTTGAGTGGAATTGAAGAATTCGATGAAAGTGTGTATCATTGATTGATTTGTGTGATTCTTATAAGCTATTTATTCTTGAAAATTTTACATACCATTGGATTACGGGTAACAAAAAAGAATGAAAGCGGGTCAGATCTGCAGGTGATATTTTTAGGCTGGATTTGGTTAAAATTGGGTTTAATTTGGTTTATAAACTGGTTTGATTTGTTTATATTTGGTTTTTTGATAATTAATAGTAGCCGAAATTAAAAATTTAATGTAGCAATAAATACTACAATTTTTCTTTTTATGTGTAAATATATATAAAATTAATTATTAGTGTGCATATAAAATCAAAATTCAGTCATGTTTAAAAAATTACACCAAAAGAGGCAATTCAAATACTAGACTTTTGAAAATAAAAAAATATTAAACTTATGAAGATTAAATATAAAAACATAATAAGTAAAATATATTTTTAAATATATTTAAAATATTTATACCAGAAATAAAACTAGATACTTCTCAAAATTTTATATTTACAAATATACTAGATATGGACTCGTGCATGGTACAGGTTTTAAATTTAAACTATTAATTTGTAATGCATATGTATCATCGTAATAACACAAAACAATGTAAACATAATGCATGATTGATTATAGGTAACACAATGTATATGTGCAGCTGTAATAACATAAGACAATGTAAACATAATGCATGATTGATTATAGGTAATGTAATGCATATGTACCGTATAATAGCAAAAATTAATGTTATTAACATAACTAATAAAATAAAGCAAAAAAAACTATACAATCTAAAATAAAGTTGAAGAGAAATTATTTTGCTTGATGAAAAATTGTTAGAGATTTTGTTTGCTTATATTTTTGTGAGAATATTTTTTTTTTCTTTTTGGATTAGTGTTTTAGTATAAATTTTTATGAAATTTTAATTTTCTATTTTTTAAATTGAGATATATTTTTTTTTTCTTTTAGAATTCAAAGTTTATCCTATATCCTTTATTCTTTTTCTTTTAGATTAGAATATTATCTTACTTGTTATTATTTTTATTTTTGATTTTTAAAAGAAATATATAGATCTTTTTTCTTTTTCTTTTAGTGTTAAAAATTTATCTTATATCCCTTTTTATTTTATTTTATAATTAGAAGTTTATCTTATTAAATTAATCTATATTTATTTTTTTACTTTTTTATTTTCTGAATATTATTTTTAACTGACACATGTCAAAATTTGATTGACTTAAATTGCCACATGTTATAATTAGGTGAATTACTGTTTTGACGTATCCAACTTCATATAATAAGATTTGTCTAAAAAATTAAAAATTATATTTTTTATAAATTTTAAATTAATAAGATAAGATATATAAAAAATTGTGGTATATTCTCAAGATAGAGTAGAATCGCAAATTAGAATTTTATATATAAAAAAAATTAATCCACACAAAGCAGCGGGTCCAAAATATAGTTATTTTAAAAAATGAAGTTCCCTTCGTGCTTCCAAGTCAGGCCAGATTGCAAAATAATGAAACTTATATTCGAATATCATTTTAAATATCAAACTACTCTTTACCATGTCTAGAAAACTAGAGGCAAGTCCTAAGATCGAATCTTCGTCTGATCAGGTTCGAGCAGACTCGCGGCCGCTAATTTCATTGTTTTTAAATTAAAACTTTTAATGCTTATGCTTTTATTAAGGGATAACTCTACTCTTTAGAATTTTAAAATGATGAGATTCTCATAATTATTATGCTTTATTAAGCTCCATTACGTCTCTTCTTCCTTTTTTTTTTTTTTTTTTCATCTTTTGGAGTACAGCATGTTGATAGGTTCCATGCTAGCATTGGATCTTTGTCTTATGAGGCATTATGTGAACGATCAAATCGGACATCGCTGTGTTGAACACAAGTGAAGCAGCAAAGTGTGGCTAATCTAGATATTTTTAATGAAACCACTTAAAAATCAGATGAATAACATAAGTGCAGAAAGCAACCAGAAGCTGAGATATCGAATGATAATTGCAATCCTCATTCTCCGGCCGTGTTCTTGACGATTAGATTGATGATCATGTGAATGTATATTTGAATATATGATTTGTATGTATTAATATATAGATGAATATAGGGTGCATCTATATGTATGTAAAATATATAGATGAATGTGTGATAAACAAGAGAGAAGAATCTTCAGGCTTTTTTTTTTCTTCTTCTCATAAGAAATATATTATCATTTTTCTTCTCAAAAGAAATATATATATATATATATATATATTATTTTTTTTGATGTTTAACCAGTATGACATTGATGTGTTTTAGTCTTTTAATGAATCTGTAAGAGCATCTCTAATGTATAATTCTATTTTAAATCTCAATATAAAACAATTGTAAAATAGAATTGCATTTCTCTCTAATGTATGATTCTATTTCTTTTTCTGTTTTATTATTATTTGCTAATTGATCCATAGTTTCTTCAAAATTTACAAATTTATTCAATAACTTTTTTCAAAACTTTTAAAAATTATACCAAACTTTAAATTTAATTATTTTTATACAAAAAAACACATTACACTATAACAAAATGATAAAACAAACTTTAATTTTAATTATTTTCGTTTTAATTTTAGTGTTTTAATATCTATAATTAATTAATAAAATAAATTATCAATAAAAAACAATTTATTAGTTTTAAAGTACAAATAAAAGACTAATTTATAAATAAAAAAGTTCAATTCTATAATAGAATTGAAAATAAAATGGTTACAAATTTAGAACAAGAAATAGCATTATTCTATTTTAAAATCAAAAATAAAATATAATTAGAGCTAAATTTATACTAAAATAAAATATAGTACTAAATTTATAATAGGGTTGGAGATGTTCTAGTTCATATTCAATATGCTGATACAAGTGATAAGAGAGACAAATATTTTAGACTTAGAGGCTTATTAGAGCCCAAAGTGGCAAAGAGTAAACGGCCCATACTGGAATATAGACCCGGATCCGAACCCGACCCGAGATCACTTGCCGCCTCATTGATCTCTCTTTTCTTGCCCCAAGTTTCTGAATTCTCTCCATCTGCAACCATGACGACTACATCGGCGATGGCTCCTCCTCCGCCGCGAAACCCCACCCGTGACCCAGAGCCTGTTCCAGATACTACATCGGTTTTAGATAGCAATGAATCCTCCGCTCCAACGGAAACCTCGTCGATGAAACCTCCGCCTCCCAGAAACCCTAACCCACCTGATCTCGAGACAATGGAAGTAGAAAACACCGAGCTAATTGAAGAACCAAAGGACGATTTCGTCACCGTAGACGCGAAGAATCCACCCCGTGCCCGAGCTGCGAAGCAGAATCCCGTTCCGTACACTATCCCTGAGTGGAGTGGACCTCCGAGCCACAAATTCAAGCTTGAAGTCCTCAAGGAAGGCGCCATTGTCGAACACTTGGACGTGTAAGCTCTTTCGAATCTATTTTCTTCTAAAATTTATCTATTTGATTTCGCTGGGTGCCCTTTGTAGCTTATCTGGTTCTTGTGAATCTATTGTATATGTTCTCTTATGAGAATCATTTTTTTGTTCTCTCCTCTCTTTGCAGGCATGAGAAAGGAGCTTACTTGTTTGGACGTGACGGTATCTGTGATTTTCCGCTTGAGCATCCCTCGATTTCTCGGTTTCATGCAGGTGATTACAATACTGACCATATATCATAGTGTTAATGCTTTCAATGAGGATTTTTGGATTACGCCGTTCTGATTTTTGATGTTTGTAATGATTTGCCAGTTATTCAGTACAAGAGAAGTGGAGCTGCATATCTATTCGATCTTGGAAGCACTCATGGAACGTTGGTGAACAAGAATAAGGTATTGTATTTTGTGGCTTCGATATGTTTAGCTTCTTGATAGAGGTTTGTTAAGATGAGTAATGGTATAGTTCTAACAATGTGTTGTGATTGTTTCAGGTGGACAAAAGGGTTTTTGTGGACTTGAATGTTGGTGATGTTATTCGCTTTGGCGGGTGAGTCAATCTTTCTGTTAAGTTGATGATGATTATTAATTTATTACCTTGACAGTATTTGATTTGATTCTTATGAGCTCATTCTTTGTTTCTTATGCAGTTCGTCTCGACTGTACATTTTCCAAGGACCTTCAGAGTTAATGCCACCTGTAAGATAAACATTTCACTTTACACAAATTTAGTTCTTGGTCTGAGTATCAGGAGAGGATATTTTTGCACACCTTATAACTTGGATCCTTAAAGTCTATTGATTAATATCAGATATCCATTTGAACACTTTTATTCTATTGAACTATCCTGTCCTGTTGTGTTCATATTTCCCCCATTTCCTTGGTATTTGTCTTTCTTTCGTTTTGTTTTGGATTTCGTAATAACTAAAGAATTGTGGAGATACATCTGTTGACTCTTTAATCATCTAGCCTTTAGTTTGATGCCCATCTAATTTACTTTTGGTAATGGTTTTTAGGAGAAAGACTTGCAATTAATCAGAGAAGCAAAGTTGAGACTGGCGATGTCGGAACGAGAAGCTTCACTTCGGCGAGCAAGACAGCAAGCAGCCATGGCTGATGGTGTTTCATGGGGCATGGGAGAAGATGCTATTGAAGAAGAAGAGGTAATTATGACTATAATATCTGTTAAGTGTTGCATATTTAAGTATATCAGATTTTCAGGATTTGTGAAATCAAATCCTTCTGACTGACGTTGTGTCTTCTACTGTTTGGACATGAAGGAAGATGTCGAAGAAATCACGTGGCAAACATATATGGGAGAACTCACGCCGAAGCAAGAAAAAACTAAGGACAAAGTATTAAAACGTTTGGAGAAGGTGAGCTCCTTGTTGACTAAGTCTTTATATTTGTCTCTTTAATCTGCTTGTTTCATTCCTTCATTCATAAATATAATTATAGACATTAAACTTAATTCGTAGACTTCATCCTTGTACGCATGTTTGCTTATGTGTAGATTGGCCATATGAAGAAGGAAATAGCTGCTATTCGAGCTAAAGACATTTCTCAGGGTGGATTGACACAAGGACAACAAACGCAGATCGCCAGGAACGAGCAGAGAACAGCCGAGGTAACTTTTTTTTATCAAAATCTGAAGTGGTAACTGGGTTATTATGATAATCTTCATCTTGGTTACAACATTGTTTGTTTGGGTTCCAGTCCCTTTCAAGCATGGCTGGTACAGATATCTGATTTAGACTTTCCATTTCTATAATATAATTGATAGCTTTTTGAAGAACTTGAGAGCTTGGAGGAGACATTGAATGACAGCATCCGGGAAAGTTTGGGTGCGAAAACAGGGAGAAAACCCAGCAGTAAGAAGAAAGGAACCGTAGAAGATGAGGAAGACTTCTCAAGGTACTTTAAGTGATCAATCTCTATATATGTCTTCATGTAAAAGTATAGCTTGTGTACGTTGTCTTCTGATTCTTATATGGGATGTTATGTCTTTTCAGTGATGAAGATGACTTCTATGATCGGACGAAGAAGAAACCATCAACAAAGAAAGGCAGCGAAAGCCAAACTGTAGAAACTGTCGACTCTCTTCTAGAAAAGAGAGACAAATTCGTGAAAGAAGTAGAGGAAAAAAATGAACAGCTTTCGGCAGAGAAGAATAAGATGGAGACAGAGACTGTCGCAGAGGTTGCATCGGGAGACTCCCTTGACGCATACATGACCGGGCTTTCTTCTACACTTGGTAACTCTACGGTTTCAATTTTTATCCTATTCAATTTATAAAGTTTACTTTAACGTAAACCTTGTTCAATGATCTAATGTGTTTTTCTTTTTAATGGTGTCAGTGCAAGATAAAACAGCCCAGATCCAGCAAGAGTTGTCTGCTCTTCAGTCAGAATTGGATAGGATATTGTACCTTCTTAAGATTGCTGACCCAACCGGAGAAGAGGTTAAGAAAAGGGAATTGAAGTCACAAGTACCAAAACCGAAGAAATCTGAAAAACCTCCTGTAGAAAAGAAGAACAGTCCACCTTTAAAGCCAGCTGATCCTGATGAGAATAAAGAGAAAGAAGTGGGCAAAGATGTAGTGGACTCAGACAATACGCCTGAAGTTGAAAAGAAAGCAAGTGAAACAGCTGAAGAGAAGAAAACCACTGTGTTCGTTCCATCGAAACCTCAATGGCTTGGTTCCGCGGCAAACAAAGAAAAAATTGAAGAGAAAAAACCTGAGATTGTAGCTGCTGCTACTGATAGCACAGATGATGTTGATGGGTTTGTTGGCTATAAAGATAGGAAGACGATGATCGAAGGTGCAACAGGATTGATAATAAGAAAACGGAAGCAAGAAGACAAGAGCAAAGAAGAAGATGATAAGTCAAAGGAAAAGCAAGCAGAGGTCATGGCACAAGACGCAGTTGCTCTCTTGTTGAAACATTCTGTAGGACGTCATACAATCGAAGAAGATGAAGAAATTAGTAAAAAGGAAGCACATAAGCAAGGAAGTGGCCGTAGTAGAAAGAAAAAGAAGACGGATAAAAAAGTACTTGGTCCTGATAAACCAGAATATCTGGATGAAAGCACAGATTATGATTCATCATGGGTACCTCCTAAAGGTAAAGTAAAGCAATGTTTATAAATACATTATGCAATCTGAATCAAATATAGTTTTAGCAAAATAAGCATATAGTTAATGAGTAATGCAAATGTGCAGGACAATCTGGTGATGGACGAACGTCTCTTAATGACCGTTTGGGATATTGATCGGTGATTTGAGTCCCCAAAAGCTAACCATGGGATCGAGGGAAGGTCGAAGTTGCTTAAACATCTGTCAACTTTTGCATTATTCTTCTGGAGATTTTGGTCGCACACTGTTTCATATTGTAAATTCTTACTTCTTAAACCAAAGATTTCCTGATTTCTCTTGTTTTATTTGTTATTGTTACTTGTGACTTTATTTATGAGTAATTTTTCTCATAAATATATATATATATTAGGGTGGGCCCATAAGCAATGCTTACGTCTGTCTCTCTCTCGCTCTCTTTAAAAAGTCAAAAGTGAATACAATTTTTATCCACTCAGAGAGCTTATCAAAATTTAGACAGTTCTCAACCTTGTCGCATGGCTTCTTCTCGAACTTGGAGGTACAGTGTCTTCCCGAGCTTCCATGGGCCTGACATCCGTAAGACCTTTCTCTCTCATTTACGCAAACAGTTTCACTCAAATGGTATTACGATGTTCAATGATCAAGGAATCGAGAGAAGCCATACCATAGCCTCAAAGAACTATGCTTCCTCGAGCTGTTCTTGCCTTGGAAACGCCGTATCTTAATAGATGCTGAAGAGATATGCGATGTCCATACAGACTATACAGTAAGTGCTCCACGATCTAAACAAAAACAATTTGGTGGAGATTTACAGATCTTACATATTTGTGCTAACAGTTTTGTTACATGCGGAATGTTTTTTTCCGGGTACTAGAATTGTGTCAGGGATATCATTTGATGTATCTAGAATCGGCGAAGTTTCTTTAAGCAAGAGAGCTTTTAAAAGAATGCGTCATCTTCAGTTTCTCAGTGTCTTCAAGACAAGATATGATGGAAAAGACAGAGTGCACATACCGGAAAACATGGAGTTTCCACCTCGTCTAAGGTTACTACAGTGGATGGTATATCCGAGGAAAAGTCTCTCTCCTACACTTCATCTTGAATCTCTTGTCGAACTAAATATGGAGTGTAGCCTGCTCGAGAAGCTATGGGAAGGGACTCTGGTTAGTAGTTATCATAACTATCTATGGTTCTTGATATGAGATACTTTAGTTATAATATACTACATATTTTTCGGTGCTGATGTTCCTCCTCTACTATCTTGTTTCAGCCGCTTACAAATCTCAAGAAGATGTCTTTGTCAAGCTCATGGTATTTGAAGGAACTTCCGGATCTTTCAAATGCTACAAATCTAGAAAGATTGGATCTTATGGCTTGCAAGAATTTGGTAGAGCTTCCCTCCTCTTTTTCTAATCTGCATTAACTAAAGAAGTTGGACATGATGGGATGCAGAAAGCTACAAGTTGTTCCACTTGACATCAACTTGAGATCCCTTGAATCGGTCAACATGTATGGATGCTCACGGTTAAGAAGCTTTCCAGATATATCCACAAACATCACTTCACTCAACATATCACACACAGCTGTGGAAGAACTACCTGAATCAATTAGGCGGTGGTCTCGCCTTCATACTCTCGCTGTATACAAAAACAGAAACCTGAAGACAGTAACACATGTCCCCAGAAGCATAACGTCTCTAAACCTAAGCCAGACTGGAATTGAGAAGATTCCATATGACATCAAAGATGTTCATGGGCTAGAACAGTTATATCTAGACGGCTGCAGGAAACTGGCATCACTACCAGAACTTCCTGGTTCCCTCACATACCTATCAGCAAAGAAGTGTGAATCACTTGAGAGTGTATCTTTCCCTTTGAACACTGACGGAGGACTCAATTTCATCAACTGCTTCAAACTGAACCAAGAAGCACAAAGAGGAATTATCCAGCGATCGTTTTGTAGTGGGTGGGCATGCTTACCTGGAAGAGACTTGCCCATTGTGTTAGACCACAGATCTACAGGAAACTCCATCACCATCTGTTTGGAGGGTAAGAGTATTTCCTCTGCATTCTCCGGATTTAAGGTTTTCCTCGTGATCTCTCCTAACAAAGATGCTGAAAAAGATAGCGATCCTGCATTATATTGTCGTCGCATAGGCAAAAGCGGTTGCCACATTGACGAAACACCGATTTTTGTTTGTCGTCTCGTCTACCAAATACAAGCGGAACATCTGGTTATGTTTCTTTCACTCTGATTTGCTCAACAAAAACAAACGCTTTGGAGTGGGTAATGAGGTGCAGTTTGAATTCAGCAACAAATCTCACGCCTACGCGATTATCGAGTGTGGTGTTCAAATCTATACAGATGAAGCAGATAGAAGCAGTGACGGGAGAAATGAAACATGAACTAGACCGAGTGTCTAAAGAAGACAATGACTGGAGCTACGAGTTTGAAACATCTGAATTCCCTGACAAGAATGAAAGTACCGAGAGACTAATATGTGACTCGAAAGAAGACAATATCGAAGGCTACAACAAACGTACAGATTGCTGGAGTTGGCTCATCCTCTGTTTTGATGTCTCCCATATCGCGAGAAGCATCAGAAGTTTAGTTTGGGGAGGAAGACGATAAAAGCCAGAGTTTAGTGACAAAGGCGAATATCAACCTGAAGAAGTTGAACGAGTATTTGCAGTGAGGTGTAGGCTGCAGAACCTGAGGAATGACGATTTGTTTATACTCTGCAATGACATGTTTGGCTGCAGCAAAATCAGCGTGATAGTCTTGACAACGGACAAAACTGAAAGTAGCAACAACAGTGAACTAAGATTTGGTGCAGAAGATGATAGCAAAAGCCACAACTACAACAGGTGGAAAGATTCTATTGGAGGATAAGAGGAAATCTTGGAATCAGTTAGTGTTGTGAAATTAAGTGTAGCAAGACAAAACGGAGGAGAAAGTCTTGGAATGGTTTAGTAACATTTGTCATTCGCAGTGTTCCTTATTTTCATTGCAAAACTCGAATTGTTCTCTGATTTTTCGCCAAATGGTTATGATAAAACTTTCGTAATGACCTAAAAAATCTCGTATGGACCTAATACTCCATAAAATGAAATAAAACCACCGCAATGGCCTAAGAAACTGGTGAGTTCTTGGAGGCTTCTTTAGCTCCATCATCTGATTGTTTCTTTTGTTAGATCTGCTGTCTGCATATTATACTCCTTTATTTACTTTGATTTTTCCTTTTTTTCCGGATATGAAAGAGTTTTTTTATCGATTCTTTATTAGTTTTATATGTTAAATCTCGTGTGTGTGGAACGGTTCCTTTTCGGCAGTAAGCATGGATATATTTTTGTCGTTAATGATTACGTAAAGATCTATAATATGTGTCGGGTTTTTTTTCTTTTAATCAGTGTTCTCCTTAGCCCTTTGTCGGTTCGATCTGCCGTTGTCTTTCACAACGGATGTGTTTGGTTTTGGTGTTTGCCGTTTGGGCAGTTTAGGTTCGTCTCCTCTATTAAAAATCACAACTATGACAAAATCGGAGATGACATCTTTGGACGTTTTTAAATCACTTTAATATTGAGGTTCCATCGTACCAATTTAGAAATTGTATTTCATAATTGCCAAAGTCTACTCATTACCAAGCGAGGATAAAAGAATTTGAAAGTTTATTCTGCAATTTTTTTTATCAAACTCTTTAGAAAACTTTATTTTAAAAGTTTTTATAATCGTGATAACTTTGACTGATCTTTCGTTGTAATCTTTGTTCAATAAAAGTTATTAAAAAATAAAAAATCTAAAAAACTGGTATGGTTTTCTAATGGTGGTTTTATTTTGCATTTTTAACTTTATTTTGAAATAAAATCCTTTTCAATGGTTTTTCATTTTCAATTCTAAAATGAAGTTTATGAATAGTCAGATTTTTTACATATCCTAATATACTCCATTTTGTGTATATCTTACATGTTAGACTAAAAGCATTGAGATCAATAAATAAAAACATTTACACTATTTTGATTTCTGACATTGTATCTTGGCCATTTATACTAAACAGTTTGTTCGATCCGTTCTTTTTGCTCCATCATTTTTCTACTGTCAAATTTCTTCTCGTGACAGTAGCAATCTAAACTAACAGGACAACCCCTCATTTTTTTTGCTTTATATCCTTTATATTCCAACTCGAGAAGAAATCCTGAGAGTGTATGATACATATGATTGTAAAAATGCAATATACCTAAGCTAAGAATGAAAAACCTAAACACTTGTGTATCTCTCTATATATAGTTATATATTAACAATATAAATATTAAACTTAATTCAAGAGGGGTTGTCCTGTTAGTTTAGATTAAGAAGCGATTAATTTCCCTTAAGAGTGAAATTATTTAAATCACTCCCACTTGACCAGTCCAAATGGTACCATGCTTTAAGTCCATTAAAATACCAGATGAACACCTGATGAGTGGATTACTCGATGGCTACACTCACCCTGGAAAGATTAGTCAGGTGTTAAAAGATCGGATCACCTTTTGATTACATAAAAAGAAAACATAAAGTTGGCATCGAGTTAATAAGGGTGAGTGTTTAGGGTTTAGGATAATAGTCCCTTATTATCCTATGTTTTTCATCTTCGAGAAGACAACAAAACTTAACTCTCCGTTGATTGTGAAACACTCCATCTGTCTCTTGTCAGTGGACCTCCCTGGTAGGTACACATTTACTACGATGATACTCCTTCACTCATTATTCTTTAAGGGTATTTGATTATATAAATTTATAAAGTGTTCTATATTAGTTCCTTGAAAATAGTTATATATGTTTATCGCAATACTAAAATATATAAAACAAATGACATTTAATATGTGTAGGATGTTTGATATATAATTTGAAAAGTATTATCTTCGTTAATACCTGAATATCTTATTATGTAAAGTTTGATGCGCCACAGTTAGTAATTCGTATGATCGTGATATGTGACAATTTGATTGATAAGATTTTGATATGTATCGTGATTAAATTAAAAATAAAAAAAAAATTTAGAAAATATAACCATTATTTAAGAAAAAGAAATAAACAATATAACTACTACAATATCAAGAAAAAAAATAAATTAAAAAGAAAAAAATAAAAATTTATATTTTTTAACTAAAAAAAGGAATTTAAAAAAAAACTAATTCTAAGAAAAAAAGGAAACTATTATTCACATCTTTATAGATACTAATTTCTCTTTAAGACTTGAGTCAATCAGATAAGATGAAATCAATGAAGCAACATAAAACAATCAGAATTCTGAAGGCAGAATGAAGAAAAAGGCCAATTTTTTTTTATACCATTTTACCAAATGAGATAATCATAGATGTGAAAAATATTAAAGTAATCACAGAATGAAGAAGAATGCCAATTTCTTTAATCATTTCTATTATCAGTGCTTTTGCGAAAATGTTTTCAATCTATCTTATTACATAAAGTTGTTATTTAAGAAAAGTAATAAAAAATATAACTACTACAATATCAAGAAGAGAAAAATATAAACTAAAAAGAAAAAATAAAAATTTATATGTTATAATTAAGAAAAACCTTTTTTTTTAAAGTAAATACTAATCCTAAAAGAAGAATGAAACTATTATTCACATCTTTATAAACACTGTTTTTTTTTTATTTAAAACTCGAGTCAATCAGATAAGATGAAAAACTAATAAAGCGATGGAAAACAATCAGAATTGTGGAAGCAGAATGAATGAATGAAAAAATCAATTTTGCTTTGATACCATTTTATCAAATAAGATTCTCAACGAGAGTTTGTTAAACAGAAATCATATTTGTGAAAAATATAAAAATAATCGCAGAATGAAGAAAAAAGCCAATATCTTTAATTAGTTCTATTAATATTGGTTTTACAAAAATGTTTTCAATCTTACTTTTCTATATTCATAGTGATCTATGTTTTATAATATATCATGTTCAGTAATATTTGAGAAATATATAAAAGTAAACAAAGATTGAAGGAAGAAGCCAGTTTCTTTAATCAGTTCTATTATAAGTGATTTTGCGAAAATGTTCTCAATCTTAATTTTTTATATGTTCATAGTGATCTAATTTTGTTTTACACATTTTATGTTCAATAATATATGTGAAAAATATAAATGTAAACACAAATTGAAAGAGAATGCCAGTTGGTTAAATCAGTTCTATTATAAGTGGTTTTGTGAAAATATTCTCTATCTTACTTTTTTATGTTTATAGTGATCTAATTTTATTTTAAACTTTTTTTATGTTCAGTTTCTTTTTAATGGGTTATGTAATAATTAATTATAAACCAGTGTATATAGAGATTACAGTAAACTACAATAATTAAAATGTATATGAGTCAATTAATCAAATTTTATCACATGTAATAAATATTTTTATTAAAAATTGTAAATATACATAAATAAATAAATATAATTAAAGATAATTTATTTATTTTTTTCCTATTATCTTACGAATTTTTAAATAATTTTTTTAATTCACTTATACGCAGAATTTTATAATTTTTCATGTTCGGTCATATATATGAAAAATATAAAAGTACACGCATAATGAAGGAAGAAGCCAATTTCTTTAATCAGTTCTATTATAAATAATTTTGCGAAAATGAGCTCAATCTTAATTTTTTATGTTCATAGTGATCTAATTTTTTGTATACTTTTTATGTGTATTCATATTTGTGAAAAATATAAAAATAAACACATACTGAAAGAGAATGCCAATTTGTTTAATCAGTTCTATGATAAGTGTTGGGACCGACTTTACTGCACCCAAGGAGGATGCGACACGTGGATGTCGAACTGCCCTAAACACAGACACACGCCATATTAGCTCGGCCGAACCACTCCCGTGCACTATTTCCAGGCAATTGGTGTGTTTCTCCAAAACACGCATGAATCATTAACCCACCTGCTCCTTTAGTGCGCCGGATGGAGAGGACATGACAGGGAAGAGACTAGTATAAAAGGAAAGGGATCCCCACACAAGAAGGGGATCAGCTGGAGAAGCCCGATCTAGGAGATCGGTTCGGCGGACTACAAAATGACCACATGAGAAGAGGCCTGATCACTCTGCACCAACTTTCACCGCCGAACAACATAATTAAGAGAGAACATCCCCGTTCCCTCGAGATAACGCCCTCTAGGATAAGCTCATCTTAACTTGGAACCCTGTCTTTATACTCTTTATACTCATTGCATCTTCCCCTTTCAGTACAGTACCTCTCTTGAAACACTTATAAATAGACAGATGTCTCGATCCTCGGACGAGACCTCTCACCTGAACTCGTAGAAACACCCTCCAGAGTACTCGTTTCTGGTATGGCGTTGATTGACTTGAGCGTCAAAGAATCTTCGGGAAGAAAATCCCCTTTCGGTCTTCCCGAAGGTCTGATTGACCTTTTATGTAGTGTTTGTAGGGCCGAATGTGCTCACTACCCAACCGATGGGACTTGAATCAGCTTCCGCCCTGGAACTCCTTGTCGCCTTTCCCCCCAGAGGTCGAAACTCGGAGACACAGCTTCACTCCCCAGACGAATCACACACCCTCACGTGGCATCCCGAAATTTGCTTCCAAACAGTTGGCTAGAAAGAGGGGGGATTACCGGCGAGCGCTCCACGAAGGAAGCAGTCTACACGGCTCGACCCTTTAAAAGACGTAGAAGGCAAAAAAGAGTCTCCGAAAAAGAGTTTACCGCGTCCAGCGAGCGTGTGAGTTTCGAAGCAGTCAGCCGCCACCTGGTGAGTTCACGGGTCGAGGGAGCAGTCGGACGAGGAGGCACGAACATTGGCTCCGACTCTGAAGACACGCTCATCTCCTTCGGTGAACTCAGCGCAGCAGGGACCGTAGTTGCAGCTTGCGCGGTCCCGGAAGACCCCGCAGTCCTTAGGTATTGGGAGGCATCCGCCTCGCTCAACGCCTTGTAGCTGGCAGAAGAATCAGAGTTTGTGGAGGTCAGTCCGGGGTGGACAGGAGAAGGATCATGGTACTACGTCGCTCTCACCACGGGGGACTCAGTGAGGCACCTCCGACGCGAAGGCCGGGAT